TGACTTGATGCTTTAAGCCCTGAGCTCAACCAGCCAAGACCAACTAAGTCTCAGGATCCCACAACAGATTCTCAGATAGGTCATTCCTTCTTTTCCATAGCGTACCTGCTTGGCAGCAGAATCCTCATTCTCCATCAGCACTACATCAAGGTCTTCCTCCTCACCATCCTCCTCCTCTTCCTCCTCCTCTTCATCATCATCATCTTGCCACCACCACCACCACCACCACCAGCCCGCGCTGGCCATGGCGACGGCGCTGGCGCCGGGGCAGGCGAGGTCCTCCCTGGAGTCCGCCAAGCACCGGCTGGAGGTGCACACCATCTCCGACACCTCCAGCCCCGAGGCCGCAGGTAAGAGGGGGAGAAAACGGCACAGGGGAACCCCCCCTCCTCACCCCCTACCCCTTTATTTCCCCCCCCCGACGGCCGGGCGATCCCCCGCCACCCTACCCCGGTAGTCCCCGGTAGCCCCGCACTGCGCCGCCGCCTCTCTGCCCGGACCCGCGTCGTGGGGGGTGGTGGGGGGTTTATTTTTCGCGTGGGGCGTCCCGTGTGCCGGCGTTTTGAAGGCTGACGGACGTGTCGTGAGGACCGTCCGGCGGTGGGAGAACCGTGCGGCGAGTTACAGGGATCCGCGGACCCGCGTAGCGGCGCGGATGTATAGGCGGCGGATGGCGCGGGGACGGATAGAGAAATAGGGGTGTAAGACGGAGGAATAAGGCGGGTTATTCCTCCGAGGAGAAGGGTGCGGCGACAGCCGGGAGAATAATTGGGATAGAGGCAGAGCGCGGTGCGGTACGCGCGGGAGTAACGCGGGGAGGGACAGCCGGATAATTGGGCTTGCGGGGGTGCGGAGGGGAGGACGGTGCGGCTACGGACAGGGGCGGAAAAAATCGCGTAGAGACCGGGGGGAGAACCGGCTCCGTCCCGCTCCCTCGACCCTCCGGGAGGAGCCCGTCCGCGGGGTGCGGAGGGGCCGCGGCGGCGGGTTAATCGTTAACCCCGCGTTGGGGGGCAACCGGCGGGGATGCGGCGGCTCCGGGGACAACCCGTCCGCTGCGAGAAGAGGTTTGGGAGGCTGAGTCGCTCCCCTTTTCCGCCTCGTTGTTGTTTTGTTGGGTCTTTTTTTTTTGGTTGGGTTTTTTTTTTTTTTTTTTTTGGTGTTTGTTTGTTTTCCCGTTGTTTCCCCCCCTTACAGAGAAAGAGAAGAGCCAGCAGGGCAAGAACGAGGATGCGGGGCCCGAAGACCCCTCCAAAAAGAAGAGGCAGAGGCGGCAGAGGACTCACTTCACCAGCCAGCAGCTGCAGGAGCTGGAGGCCACCTTCCAAAGGAACCGGTACCCGGACATGTCCACCCGGGAGGAGATCGCCGTCTGGACCAACCTCACCGAAGCCAGGGTTAGGGTAAGTCCCCACCGCGGCACCCCCCGAGCAGGGGGTAGGAAGAGGGAAAAAATGGGGAGGAAGAGGCTGAAATATTCGCAGCTGCTTTCGATTTCGGTTCGTAGGGAAACTTCTGAGCCTTTCGCACAAAAGCAGGGAAGGCAGAGAACGATAATTTCTGTCCAAGCCGGACAGATCGGGGTTTTTTCTCTCTCCCTCTTTCTCCCTTCGGAATACGGGTTTCGCCTTCAGTCTTTTCACCTTCTCTTCCTTGTGATGGAAACGCTAATGAAAATTAAAACATTAACGGAGAGAAGCGCCTGGGAACGGGCTGCAACCTGCGCCGCCCCTAATGAGGAAAAGATGTAAAAATACACAAGGGCTATTTTTTTTCCCCTCTTCCTTCACTCCGAGCGAGGCGCTCCCGACCTGCCCGCCCTTGCATTTTCTCTCTTGCTTTTTCTTTTTTTTTTTTT